CCGACCTGAGGAAACTTGTTCGAAGGAGGGAGAGAAAATTGAAGAAATTGCCTTACTACAAATGATTAAGGAAATCTGTGCAAAGGGGCTTGAAGTGCAAACCTTCATGGATGAAAATCACCCTCACACAGCTATTGCAATAAGCCGTGCTGGTGACTATTACGACTGACAATGTTGTGAAACACTTAGAAGTCATAAAGGAACGAGAGGTACTAGGGCCACTATGGACAGATATGTTTGCGACAGAAATCCAGTGACTCTGAAGCTGTTCCTAGTGGCATTAAAAGAAGAAGGGAAGTAACCCCAGAAAAGACTTGACACCTCAAGGTCTTAATGGAAGGGATTCCCCTTCTAAACACTAACACACTCTCACTCCTCCCATCCCATCAATCATCACCAGATCGGTGGGCAAGAAAAGGAGTGTCGATGCAAACTGTGCATGCCTTTTTCAGTTTGTGTGTATTAAAATTAATATTTCATGTGGTAAAATTTTTTTTTTTTTTTTCATACTTTGGGGTGTCTTGCACGGATTAATTTGATTTCCATTATTTCTTATGGGGAAAATTCATTCGCATAACGATAATTTCGCATAACAATGAGCTCTCTTGCACGGTTAATATCGCTATGCGGGGGTCCACTGTACATGTATGTGCAATGTGATCTAAATGTAAGTAGAAGTAGCAAGACGTACCTGAAATCTTGCATGTTTATGAGACAGAAAAAAGGCACCAGCAATCCTACCATCATGTAAAACAGTTATGGGCTTTCGTTTTACATTCACTTGGGCAGTTTCTGTCTACCACCTTACTACCTAGGTCCCTTTTACATGTTCACACATTTTTTTCTGTAACTTGATAAAGTTCCCATTGAGCATTAAAATAAAGGCTTATGCTGTTTTATGTATCTTTTTTGTACTCATGCCAAGGGTCATGAAAGACTTTATGACCCTTGGCATTTCAGAATGGTACACCAGCATGGGCTTTGGCTTGAAATCTACTGAAATGCCTTAAATCTTTGAGCAATCTTTTCTTAAGTGGAAGTTTTTGTACTCGGTGCACTTTCTTCCACTACTCTAATCAACAATTAGTATGTATTTGATGTGTAGCTGCCTTTCTCTATGATTTCCTTTAATATATTCTCATAAGTCAGCTGTTCGTAGTAGCATTTGCATCATCATCAATCACTAGGCTGTTATGTAGCCTTTCCATGTTTTTTATTATAGTATATCACTGCCTCGGTGGGAGATGGCTGTAGACAGCCTGTACTGTCTGCACAGACAGCCCATGCTGTCTGCCAGCTTAGTTCATATTTCGCGCCATGCTGGTGCTGCCACCTATAGGCCTTGCCACTTCAGTATGCCCAGACTTGCCTCACCCTCACTCACACAGTGGCCTAGCAGCAAGACACAAGGCCTCCCAGCTCTCTCTCGTGGGATGGCCCTGCCCAGGCCATGGGCACAACACAAGCCTGTGTACCCACCACTACTTAAGAATAAACGAAGAAGCCTCCGAAGACGTATCATTAACTCCCCGCTACCAGAATACCAAACAAATTCCCTTTTTATAATTGGTACCTAGCGTGGTCGCAGCAGTGTTTTTGCCCAAGCGAGGAAGGAAGAGGGATGAATCATCTTCACTTCATCATCCCATACAAGAAAGCATTCCGTCTCTCAACAAGGTTTATCTGATGTCGTGTCTGCACGTTTGAGCACCCCAGACACAGGTAACAAGCAGGACAGCCGAAAATTTTGCCGAATTTTTTTCGAGAATTGTGAGGGCGTCCAGTGACGCCACACTACAGTGCCCACGCTGTTTCTCAAGTCACGTTGTGTCATCGTCACTTGATGTTCTGTTGTTGTTGTTCATCTCAGCACAGTCGTTTCAAGCAAGCCAGAGGTGAGTTTTTGGGGTGATTTCTTGCGTCCGTGTGAAGCTCTCTACGTATTTGTGGGTGGGGGAGGAAGGAGAAGGAAGTGGCTGTCCTCACCTGCCCATGCTTCGCCCCTAAACTCACAAAACACTACCGCCCCCCAAACTAAAGGCTCCACCCGTCTACCATACACCACTCACCACTGCCCCCCCCCCCCATACTTCCCTCTGCTGTGTTTTTCTGCTGTTTTCCATGTAATTCATTGCCATGAAGCATGTGTATCCAAAGGCCGAGCCACTCAAGCTAAACTGTACAGCTGCCAACACGTAGAACACGACGCCACGTGGATCACACGCCACGTGGTTGTGGGCGAGTCGCGTAGACCTACGAGCTACGTGAGTTACCAGATGGCCCAGGCCACATGCTGTTGGTCCTGCTGCCCGCATCACATTGAACCGTCACCCACGATGCTGCCCGACTTCATGACGTCACGATGTCTGCTGACGTCACCTGAGATGCTGCTGACGTCACCCTCGCGACATCAACGCCTGACACATGATGTCACCATCGGAGTGGTTCAGTAATTATTTTAGTATTGTCGAAAAGATTGAGAGAAGATATAATGTCGTTGTGTTTAATTCCTCTCAGTCATTGTTCTCGACATGTGTTGGACCGCGGTGTGTTTTTAAAGTTTCCGTGTGTCCAGTGAGGTCTGAGCCAGACCTGAGTAGCACCACTGTGTTAAGGTCACCCGTGTGACCATGGTGTTTGAGACAGCTGATTACTCAGGCCCTGAGCGTATGAGCCCTCTTGACAGAAAGCTTTTATGCTCTGTCGCTCGTGATGTTCTGCAGAATCGTACTGCTACGATCCCATCGAGGATTTTTCACATTCACCTCCAGACCTTCAGAGTTGCAGTTATAGTAGAGAAACAAGTCTGGGGACGCTTAGACTAATCTCTGCTATAACTCCAACTGCCGATGATACTCCGCCAAGCCGCAGTTAGCCACTGTCGGCAGGCGCTGTGTCAGCCGCGTGTCACAAACTTCAGTGAGCAGCCTGAACAAAGAAATGTCACTTTGACTGCTAGCTTTTCTCACTTGCAGTCTGGTGTATGATGTTACACTCCCCCAAGATGTTTCGCCCAGTCGTCCTCTGCACGACCATCGCTCCACCAACGTCGCTCCACGCTCGCCGGCAGTGACAGCCCAGCGACTGTACCATGTCTAGAAATGTCCATCCTGATCCCGCTTGCCAGAAGTCCTGCCCAGTTTGCCAAGTTTTTGTGTCAGACGTCCCTTCACCAGAGGGCAACCAGCATGTTGTGCCTCAGGTTGAGTGAAACCTGCAGCGACTCCTACGATGTCTGCTTCACCGTTCCAGCTTCATGTCACAGCTCAGCCGCAGCGATGTCTCCTGTGTTGCAGTATGTCCAGACGCAGGAAGGCGGCAGTGATGTCCCTTCGACGCTCGCTGCTATTGACCACGATGTATAGCACACACCCACATTTTTTTTCTCCCTCCCTGAGGAATTTTTTTTTCCATGTCCATATGTATACAGTGGACCCCGGCATAATGATTACCTCCGAATGCGACCAATTATGTAAATGTATTTATGTAAGTGCGTTTGTACGTGTATGTTTGGGGGTCTGAAATGGACTAATCTACTTCACAATATTTCTTATGGGAACAAATTCGGTCAGTACTGGCACCCCTGAACATACTTTCTGGAGTGAAAAAATATCGTTAACCGGGGTCCACTGTATAATGTTTTTATTTTGTGGTTCTGTCCCTGTTTCCTACGAAGAGAGACCGAGTTCTTTACCCCATATTGTCTTGTCGGGACGACGCCGGTAGGTTGGCCGAGCGTATTAGAGAGACAGCCTGTACTGTCTGCACAGACAGCCCATGCTGGTCTTGCCAGCTTAGTTTCAAATTTGCGCCATGCTGGGCTGCCCACCTATCGGCCTTGCCCCTTCAGTATGCCCAGACTTGCCTCACCCTCACTCACACAGCGGCCTAGCAGCAAGACACAAGGCCTCCCAGCTCTCTCTCGTGGGATGGCCCTGCCTGGGCCATGGGCACAACACAAGCCTGTGTACCCACCACTACTTAAGAATAAACGAAGAAGCCTCCGAAGACGTATCATTAACTCCCCGCTACCAGAATACCAAACAAATTCCCTTTTTATACGGCCGACTTGCTAAAAAAAAAAAAAGTCACTACTCATGAGTTTAGAAGCCTGAAGCTTTCATATTTTTGTGGAATTGCAGTAGGGGTGGCAATCAAGGCAGCTTCCATACATTTCTTCCTTCATTGGTCACTTTCACTGATGTTTAATCAGGATTCATTCCACTTACTTCAGCCTTCCCCATCACACACTCACTACATGTCAACTGTCACAGATCATTACATAAGACCTTTTATTTTTATAGTTTTTGTATTGTGATTGAAAAAGCCACTTATAGCAGAATGCTTCCTTTAGTAAATATTCTGAACTATACATAAGTGCTTTTGCCCACATACTCTAGTATCAGTAATAGGATTCACACACTTAGCATGTGGCATCAGCTTCTTTTGTTGATCATAGATATTAAACACTTTGGTTCAGGGTGGAACAGAGTTTTGAACATAGCTCCTGGTTTCTCACCAGCAACAATCTGCATCAAAATGGCAATCCTTCTTACTTAATCACCTTTTGAAAATAACATTGTTTTGGGTATAACATAATAATAACTCTGAACCAGGGCAAAAAAATCACCTGTATGAGCCAAGTCTGCAATGATGTTTCAATACAGAAACATTTACTCACTTGTTAGTTAGTTATGATGTGCCACCTTCACACTATAACCAACTAACAAGTGAGCTTTTGTCTTATAATGTAATCTTTTGCTTTTCCTCTCAGCAGGCATGCTTGGGTTTCTGGGAGCTGAAGTAAACTTACAACATTTGAACTTGCAACATAATAAATCCAAAGGTGTCATATAACAAGTACCTTCCATAATATTTCAACAGTTGTATATGTCAGTGCATCAGTAATTGAGGGCTCTACTGTATATGATTTTAGCCACCATCATGAGAAAGGATGTATTGCTAATATCAAGTGTAAGTTTTCTTTGTCTTCCACTCAGCGCACAACTTCTCAGCTAAGTGTAGACAGTCTTTCAAGTCAAACCACTGTTGGCAGCCTTCCTTCTCCTAGTTTGCCATGGACAACCACGAATACCCTCACTTTCAGCAAGTGTATCTTCAGCTAGCCTAGGCCCTCCACTCAGAGATGAGCCACAAACTGAAAGTGTTGCAGAAACAGTAACCAGCTTCATGAGTCGAGGAGAATCTTTAGGTAACAAATTAATATTCAGTATATCGAATTTGTGAAATGTAGTAAATGACTGTGTGAAAATAATAAATATCTTGCAAACCTTTAAAGGGCTTAGTTATTATTAATATATGTATATTTTTCTTAAAGTATATTGCACTTGGTTTAGCCAGATGTAACTCACTACATATGCAATATGGCATACAATATTAAATTTTGTGATGTAAATATTTTAGTATTAATTCTCTTAATTAAAGAGAATGAGTATTCTTAATGTTTTGTATTTGGTTACATTTTTTGGGGAGATGTTAGTAATGGTTACTTGTTAATGCTGCAGCACATGATGAGAGCAGTGGCAGCAGTGAAGGCCACGACACCAGTATCGGTTATGAATCAGAAATGCGAAGTGATGTTGATTCTGGAATACAGGCCAGCATAAAGTATGTTGGGCATCTTTTCATTTGTTTTACATTTAGTACTTATATATGTAATTGTAGTAGGTTGGTAGACAGCAACCACCCAGGGAGGTACTACCGTCCTGCCAAGTGAGTTGTAAAACGAAAGCCTGTAATAGTTTTACATGATGGTAAGGAATTTGCTGATGTCTTTTTGTCTGTCCCCTCATAAAATGAAGATTACAGCATGTCTTGCTACTTCTACTTACACTTAGGTCACACTACACATACATATACACATTTATTCAAACACACTCATCTAGTTTTCTTTGATTTTTTATCTAATAGTTCTTGTCCTTATTATTTTCTTTTATATCCATGGGGAAGTGGAATAAGAATCTTTCCTCCCGTAAGCCATGCGTGTTGTAAAAGTCAACTAAAATGCCGGAACAATGGCTAGTAACCCCTTTTTCCTGTAAAGATTACTAGGTGTTTAATAAAAGAGAAAATTGTCATAGTGGGAAGTCTGAATGTGCGTGATGTTGTGCAGATGATAAGAAAGAGAGATTGTGGTTGCTATGAATGAGAAGAAGCTGGAGTCCCTGGCATTAAGTGAAACAAAGCTGAATGGGGGTGGGAGAGTTTTCCAATGGAGAGAATAAATGGGATTAGTCAGGGGTTTCAAATAGAGTTAGAGCTAAAGAAGGAGTAGCAATAATGTTTGAAGGATAACTATGGCAGGAAAAGAGGGACTATAAATGTATTAATTCAAGATTATGTGGAGTAAAATAAAGAATGGATGTGAAAAGTGGGTTTATAATATAAGCGGTAAGCACCCCACCCTCCCCGTGGGCTGCCAGGAATTTTCATTGCCCGAGCTGGGTTCCCAATCCCCGAGCCCCCAAAAAGCACTGGACCACATGCCCGTAGATCAGACCCACGGGGATCCGACCCCACGGGGGTGGGGGCGATGTCCGTAGACCTCGGTACGTGGTTACCAGAGGGCCCAGGCCACAGCTGTGGTTGCTGCCGCATCACTTGACGTCCCCCCACGTGCTGCCGATTCATGACGTCACGATTCTGCTGACGTCACCTCGAGATGTCTGCTGACGTCACGTCGCGACCCCCCCCAAAACGCCGGGGAACACATAGTCACCATCGGTGTTCAGTATTATTTTATATTGTGAAAAGATGAGAGAAGATATATGTCGGGTTTTTTAATTTCCCTCAGTCAGTGTTCTCACATTTGTTGTACCGGGTGGTTTTAAAATTTTCCCCCGTGTTCCAGTGAGGCTACCGACCTGGTAGCACCACGTGTTAAGTCACCCTGTGACCGGGTTTTGCCTGATTACTCAGCCCGGGGTAGACCCCTCTTGTACAGAAAGCTTTTTTCCGCCCCTCGGGTTTTTCTGCAGAATGTACCTGCTACACCCCCATCGAGATTTGTTTCACTTCACCTCCGCCCTTCGGGTGCGTTATTTTAGAGAAACAAGTCGGGGGACCTTAGACTAACTCTGCTAAACCCAACGCCAAATGATACTCCCAAAGGGGCCCAGTTAGCCGTCGGCAGGCGCTGTGTCCCTCGTTCAAAAACTTCAGTGAGCATAAAAGAAGAGTCACTTTGACTGCTAGCTTTCTCACGCGTCTGGTGTATGATTTCGACTCCCAGATTTTTTCGCCCATCGTCTCTGCCAGACCCTTTCCAACTCCTCCCAAAGCTCGCCCGGGAGTGACAGCCCACGACAGACCCGTCGGGAATGTCCCCTTTTAGTCCTTCAAATCCTGCCCTTGCCAGTTTTGTCGAGCCCACTCGAGGGGGACCCCATGTTGGCCCCCGTTAGTAAACCTGCGCGACTCCACATGTCCTTCAAAACCGTTTACTTTTTGTCACGTCAGCCGCAGCGATTCTCCTGTTTGCGATGTCCAACGCAGGAAAGGGGTGCAGTGATGCCCTTCGAGCTTGCCTAGACCAGATGTTTAGCACACCCCCCTGTTTTTTTTTTCCCCCCCTGAGAATTTTTTTTCCCTGTCCATATGTATAAGGGCCCCGCCTTTTTCCCCCCCGAATGGACCAAAATTTTTTTTATGTATTTTCGTTGACGGTAGGGGGGTTGAAATGGTAACACTTTCCAATTTTTCTTTGGCAAATTCGGCAGTCTGGCACCTGAACATACTCGGAGGGGAAAAATACGAACCGGGGGCCCCAAGTTTTTTATTTTTGGGGCCCTGCCCGGAGGAACCAGCTTTTACCACCATATTGTCGGGCGGGACACCCCGGTAAGTCCACTATTTTAAACCCAGGAAGAAGAGAGAAGTGTAGAGAGAGGAGAGATTTTGGAAATGCTGCGTGAAATGCGTGGGGAGTTTGAATCTAGTGTGAGAGTAATGGTGGTTGGGGATTTCAATGCTAAAGTGGGTAAAAATGTTAATGGAGGGAGTAGTAGGTAAATTTGGGTTGCCAGGGTAAATGTAAATGGGGAGCCTTTAATGAGCTATGTGTAAAAAGAAATTTGGTAATAAGTAATACATATTTTATGAAAAAGAGATAAATAATTAACAAGGTATGATGTAGCAACGTAATGAATAGTAGTTTATTAGATTATGTATTGGTGATAAAAGGTTGATAGGGTAGGCTCCAGGATGTACACGTTTAATAGAGGGGCAACTGATATATCGATCATTATTTAGTGTAGCTAAGTTAGAGTAAGAGGTAGATGGAAAAAGGAAGGTGGTAAACAACAAGTAAGATGGAGGTAAAGTGTAAAACTAAGGAGGAGAATTTCGGGCTAGATATAAAGCGACTATTGATGCAGAAAGGGTGGTATAGTGCAAAGATGAGTAATGGGGGGGGTTTGATGAGGTTGGAATAGTTTTAAAAAATGCATTATTAGAATGTGGGGCAGAAGTTTGTGGTTATAGGAGGGTGGGTGCAGGAGGAAAGAGAGTGATTGGTGAATGATGAAGTAAAGGGTGTGATAAAAGAGAAAAAGTAGCTTATGAGAGGTTTTTAACAAATGCAGAAGTGTTATAAGAAGAGCAAAATATATGGAGAGTAAAAGAAATGTAAAGAGAGTGGGTGAGAGAGTGGCAAAAGGAGAGCAGATGAATAGAGTGGGAGAGGCACTGTCAAGAAATTTTAATGAAAATAAGAAAAAATTTTGGAGTGGAGTAAACAAGTTAAGAAAGCCAAGGGAAAATATGGATTTGTTCAGTTAAAAACAGAGTAGGGGATTAGTAGATGGGGATATTGAGGTATTAGAAGATGGCGAGAATATTTTAGGAACTTTTAAATGTAAGGAAGATAACAGAGGCATTAAATTCAGCCCTGGTCAGGGAGGTATACCACTTTTAGGAGGAAGAAGAGCAGAATGTAAGTGTGGGGGATGTATCGTGAGGCATTACGTAAAATGAAAGGGGGTAAAGCAGCTGGTACTGATGGGATCATGACAGAATTGTTAAAAGCAGGGGGGATATAGTGTTGGAGTGGTTGGTACTTTTGTTCAATAAATGTATGAAAGAGGGGAAGGTACCTAGGGATTGGCGGAGAGCATGTATAGTCCCTTTATATAAAGGGAAAGGGGACAAAAGAGACTGTAAAAATTATAGAGGAATAAGCTTACTGAGTATACCAGGAAAAGTGTACGGTAGGGTTATAATTGAAAGAATTAGAGGTAAGACAGAATGTAGGATTGCGGATGAGCAAGGAGGTTTCAGAGTGGGTAGGGATTGTAGATCAAGTGTTAACAATTGAAGCATATATGTGAACAGTATTAGATAAAGGTAGGGAAGTTTTTATTGCATTTAGGATTTAGAAAAGGCATATGATAGAGTGGATAGAGGAGCAATGTGGCAGATGTTGCAAGTATATGGAATAGGTGGTAAGTTATTAAATGCTGTAAAGATTTTATGAAGATAGTGAGGCTCGGGTTAGGGTGTGTAGAAGAGAGGGAGACTATTTCCCGGTAAAAGTAGGTCTTAGACAGGGATGTGTAATGTCACCATGGTTGTTTAATATATTTATAGATGGGGTTGTTAAGGAAGTAAATGCTAAGGGTGTTTGGGAGAGGGGTGGGATTAAATTATGGGGAATCAAATTCAAATGGGAATTGACACAGTTACTTTTTTGCTGATGATACTGTGCTTATGGGAGATTCTAAAGAAAAATTGCAAAGGTTAGTGGATGAGTTTGGGAATGTGTGTAAGGTAGAAAGTTGAAAGTGAACATAGAAAAGAGTAAGGTGATGAGGGTGTCAAATGATTTAGATAAAGAAAAATTGGATATCAAATTGGGGAGGAGGAGTATGGAAGAAGTTAATGTTTTCAGATACTTGGGAGTTGACGTGTCGGCGGATGGATTTATGAAGGATGAGGTTAATCATAGAATTGATGAGGGAAAAAAGGTGAGTTTGGGGCTTGAGGTATATGTGAGTCAAAAAACGTTATCTATGGAGGCAAAGAAGGGGAATGTATGAAAGTATAGTATACCAACACTCTTATATGGGTGTGAAGCTTGGGTGGGAAATGCAGCAGCGAGGAGACGGTTGGAGGCAGTGGAGATGTCCTGTTTAAGGGCAATGTGTGGTGTAAATATTATGCAGAAAATTCGGAGTGTGGAAATTAGGAGAAGGTGTGGAGTTAATAAAAGTATTAGTCAGAGGGCAGAAGAGGGATTGTTGAGGTGGTTTGGTCATTTAGAGAGAATGGATCAAAGTAGAATGACATGGAAAGCATATAAATCTATAGGGGAAGGAAGGCGGGGTAGGGTCGTCCTCGAAAGGGTTGGAGAGAGGGGTAAAGGAGGTTTTGTGGGTAAGGGGGCTTGGACTTCCAGCAAGCGTGCGTGAGCGTGTTAGATAGGAGTGAATGGAGACGAATGGTACTTGGGACCTGACGATCTGTTGGAGTGTGAGCAGGGTAATATTTAGTGAAGGGATTCAGGGAAACCGGTTATTTTCATATAGTCGGACTTGAGTCCTGGAAATGGGAAGTACAATGCCTGCACTTTAAAGGAGGGGTTTGGGATATTGGCAGTTTGGAGGGATATGTTGTGTATCTTTATATGTGTAATGCTTCTAGACTGTTGTATTCTGAGCACCTCTGCAAAAACAGTGATAATGTGCGAGTGTGGTGAAAGTGTTGAATGATGATGAAAGTATTTTCTTTTTGGGGATTTTCTTTCTTTTTTGGGTCACCCTGCCTCGGTGGGAGACGGCCGACTTGTTGAAAAAAAAAAAAAAAAAAAAAAAAAACTTATATATGTACAGCAAAGTTGCTTATAGACACTCCCAGTTAATGGACTTTCACACCCTTGTTTTACTAACTCATATCAAATGTAAATCAACCTACACCGAATAATGTTCTCCATGTACTAGTGTACTAGTATACATAGTTTAGACACTGAAAACAAATAAACAGTTGAAAAACATAATTTGGCATCAATAAATTGTAAAAATAAACACTGCTGGGTGCATTTAGGCCACTGTTTCTTCTGAGTATTCATATTTTGCCAATTTTAGCACGCCTTAAAACTGTTTAGTTTTTGTTAGATTGATTTTTTTCTTTTTGTAGTTCTATTTACACTTATGCTTGTTTAAACTGTAAAAAAAATGGAATCAGTTTAAAATAGAAATCAAAGTGGGTAAAATTGCTGATGCATAAATTGTTCCGAGACTGCCAAATTTGCACCTGCATCTTCAGTTTCATTACCTGCATCTTTTGTGTCATTACCTCCAGAAAACGATTCTCTAGCACCTCCCCTCTCCAGGTATATCATTTCAGAATTTTTAATTTTGGGAGTCATGACAGTGAAAGGGTTAATTGGAGGTAACTGAGTACAATAAACTCTGATCACAGCCTATAAAAAGCATAACTTAATGCATAGATAACCTACTGGTGAGAATGATTATTCATTTTAAAATATTCCATGAAAAAATCATCCTTAGCACTTTTAACCCAGAACAATGCATGGAAAAGCTGAATACAGAAGCATATAAGGTTTATTTAAAATATGTTATGCTGAGAAAGTCTATAAGGATATCAGCATAGGAAGAGAACATAGAAGGTTTTACAAAAGAAGAGTTGCTGAACTGCTCATAAAAAGCATAAATATCACAACAAAGTAAAGTAAACTTACAGTGAAAAATTGCAGTTACTGGACTTTGTAAAACATAAACTAAAGTACTTTTATCAGACAGAAGAGACACGCATACAAAATTTTTTAAATACTTTTGAAAATAACATCTTCTGGTGTTACTCCTCTCCACAAAGGAAATTCATACACACCTTATAAAAAAGAAATTATTGAAATCTTGAAAGAGCAGTATGAAAGTGTTTGGCAATCCAGTAGATGCAATGAGAATTGAATAACCAGATAATTTCTTCACTAACATGACCCACCCGTTAAATGCCGTAAAGAGTTTTTACAAGGATAGTGAGGCTCAGGTTAGGGTGTGTAGGAGAGAGAGAGATTGCTTCCCAGTAAAAGTATGTCTTAGACAGGGATGTGTAATGTCACCATGGTTGTATAAGAAGTAAATGCTAGGGTGTTGGGGAGAGGGGTGGGATTAAATTATGAGGAAATCTAATACAAAATGGAAATTGACAGTCACTTTTTGCTGATGATACTGTGCTTTTGGGGGATTCTAAAGAAAAGTTGCAAAGGTCATTGGACGAGTTTGGGAGGGTGCGTAAAGGAAGAAAGTGGAAAGTGAACATAGATAAGAGTAAAGCGATGAGGGTATCAAATGATTTAGATAAAGAAAAATTGGATGTCACATTGGAGGGTGGAAGTATAGAAGAAGTGAGTGTTTTCAGATATTTGGGAGTTGACTTGTTATCAGATGGGTTTATGAAGGATGAGGTCAGCCATAGAATTGATGAAGGTGAGTGGTGCATTGAGGTATCTGTGGAGACAAAAAAATGTTATCCATGGAGGCAAAGAAGGAAATGTACAAGAGTATATTGGTACCAACACTTTTATGTGGGTGTGAAGCATGGGTTTCAAATGCTTCAGTGAGGAGGCAGCTGGAGGCAGTGGAGATGTCCTGTCTAAGGGAAATGTGTGGTGTAAATATTATGCAGAGAATTCGTAGTGTGGAAATTAGGAGATGTGGAGTTACTAAAAGTATTAGTCAAAGGGTTGAAGATTCAACGTTGGGGTGGTTTGGTCATTTGTAGAGAATGGAACAAAGTAGAATGACTTGGAGAGCATATAAATCTTTAGTGGAAGGAAGGCAGAGTAGGGGTCATCTCCAAAAAAGGTTGGAGAGAGGGGATAAAGGAAGTTTTGTGGGTGAGGGGCTTGGACTTTCAGCAAGCATGCATGAGCATGTTAGATAGGAGTGAATGGAGATAAATAGTGTTTGGGACCTGATGAGCTGTTGGAGTGTGAGCAGGGTAATATTTTGTGAAGGGATTCAGGGAAACCAGTTAGCCAGACTTGAGTCCTGGAAATTGGAAGTACAATGATTACACTTTAAAGGAGGGGTTTGGGATATTGGCAATTTGGAGGGACATCTAAGCTGTCGTAACTGAGCGCCTCTGGAAAGACATTGATTATGTATGAATGATGATGAAAGTTTTTTTTTCTTTCTTTTTGGGTTTTTCTTTCTTTTCGTGTCACCTTACCCCGGTGGGAAATAGCTGACGTGCTAAAAAAAAAAAAAAAATATGACAATATTGTAATAGCTATTTATTACACTACTACTGTAGGTTCAGTAATTGTAGTAGGTAAATTATCTTGTCTAGTTAAGTTTAGGTTATTGTCATTTTCTTTTATTTTAACACCGGCCACCTCCCACCAAGATTGGCTGACCCAAAAGAAGACACACTTTCACCATCATTCACTCTTACAACTGTTTAGCCAGAGGAACACTGATAATACAGTTCTGATACCCCTCCAAACTTCAAATATTCCCACCCCTCCTTCAGAGTGCAGGCACTGTACATTCCACCTCTAGGACTCAAGTCTGGCTAACCGGTTTTGCTACATCCCTTCACAAAAATGTTACATTGTTCACAGTCCATCAACTCAGCAAGTCCCATAAACTATTTGTCTCCACTCCTATCTTAACATGTTCACCCACACCTGCTGGATGTCCAAGCCCCTCACATACAAAACCATCTTTACCCCCCCTTCTCCCAACTTTTCATAGGGTGTCCCCCTGCCCCACCTCTCCTCCACTACAGATTTATACATCCTCCAAGTCATCCTATTTTGCTCCAGTCTCTCTAAATGTTCCATATTCTCATCCACTGACAAATCCACTCCCAAATGTTTTAACACATTCACTTCTTCCATACTCCCTCCTTCCAATCTGATATCCAATCTTTCATTACATAAATTGTTTGTTACCCTCATCACCTTGCTCTTTCCTATGTTCACTTTTAATTTCCTTCTTTTACATTCCCTCCCAAATTCTTCCACCAATCTTTGCAACCTCTCTTCAGAATCTCCCAAAAGCCCAGCATCATTGGCATAAAGCCACCATAACGACTCCCATTTTGTTGTAGTATTAGATTCTGCATATTTTAATCCCACACCTCTTGCCAACACCCCAGCATTCACTTCTTTTAAAACCCCACTTATTAATATGTTCAACAATCATGGTGACATCAAGCATCCCTGTTTAAGGCCTATTTTTACTGAAAAAGAGTCTCCTCTTGAAAACTCAGAACTGCTTTCAGCCTTATACCACCTATTCCATACATTGGCAACCTCTGCCACATTGCTTACCTATCCACCCTATCATATGCCTTCTCTAAATCCATGAATGCAACGAAAAACCTCTTTACCTTTATCTAAATATTGTTCACTTTTATGTTTCAATGTAAACATTTAGTCTGCTATCCTGCTTTCTGTTTTACCTTTAATTCTTTCAATAATAACTACTATGCATTTTACCTGGCATACTCAACAGGCTTATTCCCCATAAATTTTTGTCTCTTTTGTTCTCTTTTCCTTTATACAAAGGAACTATGCATGCTTTCTGCCAATTCCTAGGTACCTTCCCCTCCTTCATTCATTTATTGAACAAAAGCGCTACTCCAAACTATGTCCCCCACCTGCTTTTAACATTTCTGTCTTGATCCCATCAATCTCAGTTACTTTGCCCTCTTCCTCACGCACCTTCCCCGCACTCACATCTGGCTCTTCCTCACTCCTAGAGGATATTCCTTGCATGAAATCACTATCTCCATTTCTTCAACATTTATCACCTTTCAAAATAGTCCCAGTATCTCCAGCTTCTCATTTAATAACTCTCTTCTGCTGTTTTTAGTGGTCAAATCCATTCATTCCCTAGGCTTTCTCAGCCTGTTACTCTCACTCCAAAACTTTTTCTTATTCTCAGCAAAATTTGTTGATAGAACCTTGCCTACTCTCTCATGTACACTGATATAATGTCATGTCCATTCTTATAATGAAAAGTTTAAAAGATATAACTATGCCATGTTTGCACCTGGCAGATTACTACTGTCACAAGTTCCTGATGATTACCTTAGAACTCTGGTTGAAGAGGTTCGTAGCAGCACTAGCATCAGCTACACAACTAGTCACCAGGTATGTAAATTTCTTGTATTTGGTGCAGTAGTATATACATATAATATTTTGTGCATTGTAAATCTTGTTTGCAGAGTTTGAGGAAAGGTTAAAGCTTATCTACTTTTGCCTTTATTTAAAGGATTGAAGAATGCAATGTGAAGGAATTTATTCTACTGAAATTTCAACATTTCTCATTCCTTTAAGTTGTTTGATGTAAAAGTGAAGTAAATGCCACTTTTTTTGTCTTGGGAAACATTGTGCAGAAAGAATAAAGAATGCCTTTAGCAAATATATACAAGTGAAAGTAAAGGGAAAGAAACATTACAGTATCTCATTTTGAAATAAAATAGCACAAGTAATGGAAAAAGAAGAGACACTGAAATTTGACTTTTATTAAGTTAATACGAAGAGGGAGGAGGTAACTCAACTTATGAACCCACTTCTCGTGGGTGATGAACACTACCCCTTTTCACCTTGAATGAAAAAAGATGTTTTATCTGAAAATTTGTGCCTTGCTAAATAGAAGTAAATGAAAAGAGAGTTGCAGAAGTGTTGAGGATTCTGGAAGGAAAAAAGTTTGCCAGTGGATGAAAAAATGAGACTCAAAGTAAAGTGGTGTGGCCTTTTCTGTTGTGTAAAACATGGTCTTTGGCACCATGGAAGAAGTTGGAGGCAGGAAAAAACACAGGAGTAAAGCTGTGCTAGTTATGATCAGTCTTCTTTTTTTGTGAATGTTATACAGATAAAAATAAATGAAAATAGAAGATTTTAGGTATTTAATAGATGTACTATGCCTATATGAGAAATGGATGAGTGGAAAAGCAGTTACTTTTAACTAAATTAACTTCATTTCAATTGAAACATTATACAGTTTTCTTTCAAGAAGTCCAATCTACTTTGTGCTTTGAAACATTGTTGTGATTGATTATACTTAACCTAATGCTTGTGTCACAACAGCTACCCAGTCAGTCATTGATGCCTAATATGATGATGATGTGCTATCAATGATTATTTTCTTTGTGAGTTGTCAGCTTGAGCCTGAGGCATTCAATATCTTAATAAAGTTTTCAGTATGCTACTTCCTCTTCAGTTAACCTTTTGACTTATTGTCATGTAGAACTGTGTTATTGCTGCCAGAGTTACTGATGTTAATCTACATTAGCTCAGCTCAGCTCAGAAAAGCTGTGTGTAGTAAATTTTGGCCTAGATATAAGAGAATAGATCTGTATGGTGACTGCACATAGTATAAAAGAAATCCTGCCATACTGCATGATGGGAAAATCAAAACTCTGACCTTGTGTTTGGTTTAAAATAGCAACTTTGAGGTGTTTTGTAGGATGGTTTTATTGGCTATTTTATGGTGGCATTTGATAGAAAGGAATACAAACTGTTGAAATAGAGATGATTTTAATAAGTTCCTGCACTGGAAGAACTTTGAAATTGGCCTCAAATTAGCAGAAATATTTGATTTTTGTCTATATTCCTGAGGATGGGTAAAGCCTCCCCTACATCCCTCAGTCTGTTTTATGAGTTTTTACTAGGTCTGATTCAATTATTGAGAGGATGTAAATCATGACAAATCATTCTTGGTTATATTTTATTATCATAGAAATAGGGTATAAATCTTCATTTTTTTTTTTTGTATGATGAATTCAAAATGGAAGGCAAGCATAATATAGGAGAGGCCTGGGGACATGATTATTGCACAGAGGAAATGTTTCTTTAGTGCCAGGAATATCTATAGTGTTCATTTCGGGCTCTGTTTTTTAAATTAGAATTTTTTTTAAATTTGTGTAAAATTGGCCAAATTGCTGAATTCTGTGCACTTTATAGTTTTGATAGCTGAATGGCAACATTTTGTATTTGGTTGAAAGAAGGCATACTAGCAAAGTAGCTAAGAATTTGGCCAAACTGAGGAATGGAATTGGCTTAAAATAGGACTCAAGGTGGGCAAAATCACCACTGCGTAAATTGCATCCAGACCATTTGGCACTTGCATAATTCCACAAGTTTTCCATCAAATTTCAAAATTTTGGTGTCATTACCATCACAAAAAGCTTCTCTACCATTTCAGATTTTTTTTTTTAATGTGAACACTGAACACTTTTAATTTTGGGAGACTGGACAGTGAAAGAGTGAGATTAAAAATATTTTGTGTTTTGTGCAGTAGTACTGTACTCCAGGTGCATATTGAATGGTGGTATATGTGTAAAGGTTATGAAAAACTTGTAAATTTTTTGTTGTGGGCATTGCATGAGTTGGCTGTTTTGTTGTTCAACTTACACATTAATTGGTAATATTATAATAAGAATTTGTTGAGAGCTTTGTTATATATTTTCTTTTAAATTAGGGACAGTCTTCTGAAGGTTGGAATGTGAAGGGTGAGCCTGCAGCTGTGAATCACCCATCGCTTGGCTTATTGACCAGTACTAGGGTAAAATATTGACACCCTAATCAGCTTGTGCATATTTGCTCCTACCCTACCCATCTTACATACCCAATAACTCATTTACTTGTCCTCATTTCTAATACAATATTCCATCTCACTGCCAATGTTGAAAATATGTTTTAAAGTGAGAGTGTGTTTTTTTAATTGTAGTTCCAGAGTTTGTAACTAACTGAGGTGATACAGTAGGAAAATTAGGCTATAAAGTTAGCATTTAATGGGCTAATGTTCTATATGCAACTGCTTTCTGTTATATAATAGTCCATAGTTCAGTGATACTGTAAGTTAAATTGAATATTAGAGTACTTTTTGCCTTAAATTTGTAGATGTTGCTTGCTCAGTTTAATAACTGCATAGAAGAAAAAAGATGTTACAGTATATTTATACTACTAGATGATGTGAACATGTCTGGAAGGTAACCACTTGGGCAAACAGGCACTCAAACTTGAGCAAATGTTGTCTGCCACCAAACAATAGAACTTTGTACAATATTTTTAAGGAAATTTTTTGTTCTTGTTTTTTATTATTATTATTAACACACCGGCCATCTCCCACCAAGGCAGGGTAGCCCAAAAAAGAAAAACGTTCATCATTCACTCCATTACTGTCTTGCCAGAGGCACGCTTACACTACAGTTATAAAACTGCAACATTAACACCCCTCCTTCAGAGTGCAAACACTCTAATTCCCATCTCCAGGACTCAAGTCCAGCCTGCCGGTTTCCTTGAACCCCTTTATAAATGTTACCTTGCTCACACTCCAGTTGCACCTCAGGTCCTAAAAACTATTTGTTCTTATGTTCAGATATTAAATCTTAACAAAGTTTTATTTAAATTATATTATGAAATGGTATGTCATGCAGCTTATTTCATATCTTCTCTCTCTCGTGATAAATACAAAATTCAGAATGTGGCTTATCTTGTTGTCAGCTGGTGTGTGCTAGATGAGAGGAACTTTAGGTTATAGTGGAAGATATTCTGCTTATGACCTGAATGCTAATACACTATACAGATTCACCCACCAGTTCTACATTCCCTGTAATATTCACTCCTAACTGGAGAGATCATTTTAAGTTTAGCTATAACCGAGTCCTTATTTGTGGAAGAAATGAGCAGTAATTGGTACTCCTATTGTATTGTTATTCTTTTATAAAGTGAATAATTAGTATTATTCACTTTATATGGTGTGTGTATATTGTGTAGGAAAGGCTGAAGCTTACTACAAATTGATGAAACAAGGTTGTTAAATACGTGCAATTATAACAATAATTCAATTGTATAAGGTTAAGTTTTACAATACTTCTATATAGTAAAAATTACAAACAAACTATCCTTTATTTTGGTAGAAAAATTATAAAATACAAACACAGTACTGTTATAAAATGAGAGGGAGAGATTTACAAATACAGTGGACCCCCGCTTTACGATCACCTCCCAATGCGACCAATTATGTAAGTGTATTTATGTAAGTGCATTTGTATGTGTATGTTTGGGGGTCTGAAATGGACTAATCTAATTCACAATATTCCTTATGGGAACAAATTCGGTCAGTACTGGCACCTGAACATACTTCTGGAATGAAAAAATATCGTAAACCGGGGGTCCACTGTACTGTATATACGTAAAAATGAATAATGTGTTAGAGTGAGTTAAGAGAATTCTACTGTATTGCATTAATAACACTTGTGTTATAATTTAGAATGGAATGTTCAGCTTAAGTGTGTGACTTTATTTGTGAGAAAAAACTGGTTTTATGCAAGCTGATAATTTGATAAATTAATTGAAGTTAGTAGGCAATATGCACTTTTATACAGTACAAGCTCAGCATTTAATCAAACATATTGCTATTTTATTTACTGTGTATACACTAAACTTCAGCAGCAACAGCCTAGTTGAATAAGTAGTCAGCAAAAGAGCCTGGCCCAAGGCTGGGCTGCAAGGGTAAAAAAAAAATGAAATGTAATAGGTATATCACAGGTAGACCCTGAGTAAGCATCACATTGCCTACACTTGGTATAATGGTGTAATGGGTTCGATCGAACCCCAGGGGCTTGGTGAGTCAGTCTCAGGGGTTTGGCAGATCTCTCTCTCTCTCTCTCTCTCTCTCTCTCTCTCTCTCTCTCTCTCTCTCTCTCTCTCTCTCTCTCTCTCTCTCTCTCTCTCTCTCTCTCTCTCTGTCTCTCTGTCTCTCTGTCTCCTGTCTGCTCTCTCTTCTCTCTCCTCTCTCTCTCTCTCTCTCTCTCTCCTCTCTCCTCTCTCTCTCTCTCTCTCTCTCTCTCTCTCTCTCTCTCTTTTCTGTCTCTCTCTCTCTGTCTCTCTCTCTCTGTCTCTGTCTCTCTCTTCTCTGTCTCTCTCTGTCTCTGTCTCTGTTGGTCCTCTCTCTCTCTCTCTCTCTGTCCCTCTCTCTGTCCCTTCTCTGCCCTCCTCTCTGTCTCTCTCTCTCTGTCTCTCTCTCCTCTCTCTCTCTCGTCTCTCTCTCTCTCTCTCTCTCTCTCTCTCTCTCTCTCTCTCTCTCTCTCTCTCTCTCTCCTCTCTCTCTCTTCTCTCTGTCTCTCTCTCTCTGTCTCTGTCTC